AAGGTACCACAAAATATTTTTGAAGAAGGACTGCTTTCAAAGGCTGGGAATAGAGATTTGCACTGTTGTGTTTGTTTTGGTGCTCTTATTGCAGTCACACCTGTTCTAAACCTACTAGTCCATTTTAGATTAGTAGGACTCACAACAGATCCTGTGTATACAGTAGCTGGTGGGTGCTCAAATGGAGCAATTCAACATATCCAGCAATTGCAGAAACCTTGTTCTGAAAGTGCCTGCAAACCTAAGAGTTGGAACAGTATGCCCTCTTTTGCAGTGGAAAAGGATATGCTACTTCATCTGATACACAGAGGGTCATCAACTGCAGGTACCAAGGGAAGGCAACTGGCGGCTCTCTGAATGGAATGCCAATAACCCTAAACGGCATAGCCAGTGAGGGTTGTGAGAGTTGTAGCCTACCAGCACCTAGAAAATCACAAGGTGCCCACACCGAAGTAGAGATAAGCTTCTGCATGGAGACAGGTACGAAAGGACAGAATTGGGTGCCTAGAAAGAACAGCCAGTTCCATCCAGAAATAATATTTACAGCTAATTAGGCATTCTATGCTAGAACATTACAATCAACCATTGACAAGAAGGGAGCAAGGAAGATCCTGAACTAGTCTTTCTCTGGAGGGTCAGGGTGACAGGATCAGATGCAGGCTATGGCCACAGGCTTTGTCCAGAGTGTGCTTATGTTTGTAAACGTGTGTATCACGTTTGGGTAGTGTGGGCGGCATATAAAGTAGGCTTTGTCCAGGGTGTGCTTATGTTTGTAAATATGTGTATCACTATTGCCACTTGCAGCTTATTTATTTCTTATATAATAATCTTAGAACTGCAGGGCTGGAAGAGACCGTATGGATCATCAAGTCCAGCCCCTGTCCTAAGAAGCATAGTGGGGAATCAAACTCCGAATCCCTGGCTCCTTGCACCATGTGAATCAATTCTGATGCTGTCTAATGCAAGTGTTACACAATTGTGTGGTGTTTTTTCAACCCTAGCTCCAACTCCTGACCCCATCCAATCAAATGCACCTATTTTTCTTTTGCCTCCCTGGAAGAAGCTGCATGGTGTCTCCTTACAGAAGAGTGCTGGGTCCCAGGGTAGACTCTTCTTTGTTTGCAAGAACATTTGGCAAAAGGACCCTATACTGCAGCTGCTCCTCATCAGAGTACCACTCCCCTAGGTTGATCCCAGGTTAATAGGATTCTTTCATGAGGAGCTTTTCAACAGGCTGTCAGAGTAAATCCCAGAGGCAAAAAGAGGATAAGGAGAGGAGGTTTCTCTTCCACATAAACAGATCCTATCAGAAGATATGCCTAACCCTAGCCCTCAGGAAAAGTTTGCTGGAGTGGCAGCATATGTGCTGGCACTCCTCCCCAGGACTTACATAAGTTGGCACCACCGTTTTACACCCTGCAGCACCACCTTCTCTCTCAGGGGAGGCTGAGTGCAAGTGATGTTCTCACAGCTTTCCTTTCCTGATTCCTACAGAGTGAGATGCTAAAACAAGCTCCCACATATTCTCCTTCCAGTGCCTTCTGTCAACATAATTCCTCCCTCCCTCATCTCTCTTAAGCTTTCACCTGCAGAACATAAACTGCATTATGGCTACCCTTTCCTATAAAGCTGCTTGTTGAAAGAACCTTAGGATTGCAGTATTAGGTCCAGCTCTTTACGAGGTGTCCTCGTCTTGCAACTGGCAACTGAGCTAATAGAATGAAAATTATTTCTCACTCACCAAATGGAATCATACACTACTTTCTAAGAGGAAGTCTGTCCCTTTGCTTTGTTTCTGATGCAAAGTTTCCCAGGGTAGAAGTAGCACACGAAGGGAATCTGTGGGAAAGTTGGAACCTGAACCCTCATTCACGGTGGAGGAGGATTAGCTAGAGTCCAGCCAGTTGCTGGAATAGAGCCGAGCTGGCTGGCCTGGCACCCCACAGCTGGGCCAGTCACTCATACACATACTTCCAAGCTGCTTCTGGAGAGGACTCAAATATGTGAATACACTAACAAGTATCAAGGTGTGAGTTTCCCTGTCCTCCGGAGAGAGTGACATGGACTGTTGTGCTTCATGTCAACTTTGACAAAACCTCTTTGCACAGGCACATGGATAGAGAGATGTACAGGACAAAAAAACGATCCTTTCATGGTAGATATCAGTGGCTCTATCAGTGCCAGGTCTGGGCCTGCAGCTAGCAGGCATTCGCTGGCCGTGAACGACATTGGCTTTTCTTCCTCTGTAGGCAACTCGGCCATGTGCAAAGAGGACAATTGAAATAGCTGGTAGAACAAGAGGGCTGTGTGGGCTCTGCCACAGAGAAAAACAAATTAGAGATGGATTAGGGAGTAGCTGTTTCAGGGTGGAGTTTTCACATTTACTGTCGGACAGATTTTGCCAGATAATTGCAGGCATACTGCCGAATCTTGCTGTTTTGGAACAGAGCATGGCAGGTTGTTTGTGTCCAAGGATTTTTATGGCTTTCAGAGATACAGACTCGGTGAGGAGATTTTAATTAGGTATGTATTTTGTCAGAAATATGAAGGTAGAAATATAGACCATTTGCGTTTTACAAGCTCTAGCAATGAAAGCTTTCAAATTAAGGTGGTAGAACAGTTCTGTGTAACTCCTGCTTCCTCTTTTTTAATTCCAACAAAAGATTAGTTAAATATTAGCTTGAGTTCTTCCAGAATTTGACCAGTGACAACTATATTTAATGGTGCTAAAACTGTGGTCCTGTACAGTATATACGTATTTTGGAATAGGTATCAGCAGTGAACAGGTTGGAGCGTCTGGATTCATAGGATTTGTCCACTGGAAATCCTCATAAGAGCTCCTGGTGTAAGCAATACGCATTATAATCATTTTATACTATGCCAGAACCAGCTTCCACATTCAGAAGCAGTACCCTTCTTATTCAAATGTGCTAAGGATATACAACAAGACAGGAGTGTTGCCTTTGAATGCTGCTTGTGAGCTTCCCAATGGTATCTGGTTGGCCACTTTAGGAACAGGATGCTAGACTAGATTATGCCTTAGTCTGATCTAGCAAAGCTCTACTTACGTCCTTGCATTTCTGATTAAATTCTGATATACAGTACTTTTTGTTATATGATTTACAGGGGTTTATGGGAGGTACTCATTCACAATGTTTCTGTGACAATAAGCTGACCTTACATGGATGTCATCACTCCTAGGGTGTCTAGATCCCCTTTACTCAGATTTTCTTTAAAGAACTGCTCCTAATTATATGGTAGATGGCTATAGAGGGAGTGGGATGTACAGAGGTGACTCACTTTTAGGAGCAAGCCATTTCCTGGCTGCACTTTTTGATGGCAAGTCCTATATGGCTCCATAATCTAGACAAATTTATTTCTTGTAGTTTCCTGTTTAGGATATTAGAGGAAAAGTATGCCATCCTCCTTTAGTTATACTGCCTGCACGCATCTTTTTTTAGGGATTTAAGATGAGCCTACCTAGCCTTGGACACTTTTTTAGTTTTCCCTCCACTTTGTCACTACTAATGTTGCATTTCTTAAGACACTGTCTTGATTTTGTCTGTTTAACTGATGTCGAACAGCCCTCACTTTTCACTTGTCTTTGAAGGCCACAAGAACTGGATTTCTGCTAGCTTTGATATTCTCTTCCCTGGGAACAGTCCACTGCCTTTCTGGCCCACAATCCACCTGTTTGAACATTGGTTGTTGTGATTCATTGATTTGCTGGTCATGAGGGCTTCTAACCCGAATAGTGCTGGTCAATAGGGCAAATAAGAATGCATTTAAACTTTTAGTGAGTCAATAGCTCATTATTTCATTCTGATTTTCTGCCAGTGGTTGGGAAGAGTTTCCCTTTATCCCTGTTTAGGAAGGCATGTGGGTTAAAATTCTCCTCAGACAGGACATTACAGATGACCCACTTGTTATGACGTGACCTGCACATCATGATAATTTTCTAGATGTAGCTAAAAAGGAAGATAACTTACGGTAAGTTCTTGGAACAGGGAGTTCCGTGTATCTGATGCAACCACTAGGAAACCCCTCTGTTATGTTTTATCCCAGTGTCGCTTCTGAAAGGTATAGCATATTCAAGAGATTAATAACAGTTGATCTTAGCAGACAGCCCTTCTTTCAGCCAGATTCCAAGCCCTTTAGGACTTTTTCAAGTGATAAATAACAAAGGGAAGGCATTAAAAGTTCTTCTCTACATGTGTTGCTGTTGATACACCTGCATACCTGGAAGATTTAAATTATGAATATCCAAGTGAAGGAATGCTTTATGGGTTTTTATCCAACATTGGCTTAAATCCTGTTGCTTAGCATAGTAAGTCACAACTAGAACAGGCCCACTGAGTCAGTGAAGATTTGATGAGTCAACTCCTCCATAAGGTTCCGTTGATTTAGAGGGCTTACTCTAGTTGTGACTTATTATACTAAGCATCAGGATTCTAGTCAGTGTATATATTCATGCATTTTAAATAAAAATGGATTGGAGAGGGTCCTCTTATCCCATAAGAAAAGAAACTGGGTTAACTTGAGGTTAACTCTCCCACTCTGCCTCTGTAACTGCAGACGTTCCATTTGTTACATGATGGTCTCTTTATTCTGCTTAATTATACTTCGAGGGTCCCTGGGCCTATTTCAGGGAAACCAGGTTTGTAATAAAGGACATTAGTCCCAATTTAACACAGAGAATCCAGCATATAGGAAAGAGAAGTCAGTGTTTTATGTTCAGCCACTTGGCAAGGATGATGGGGGGAAGGGGGGGGCTGGGTGGACGGCACTTCATGTGGAACAAGCCCAGTTGTTGAAACAAAGCAGAAAGGATCTAGATAAGGAGGCTGTAGCTATTTCTCAGCAGCCAGTCAGAAAATGTTCTGCCTCCCTTAGCAACAGAGAGTGAACCAATCAGCAGACAGAAGGTCTTCAGTACTGGCAACCATTGGTGGTAGGGACTGGAAGGGGAGGGAGGGAAGGAATGAGAGACGGGAAGAAGGCAGGGATAGAGAGAATGAGAGATTTCCCAGGCTACTGACCTGTTCCTGAGCAGCAAAAAGGTGGTGGTGGTTGAAGGGTGTGTGTGCGTGCGTGTCAAGTCCAGCTGTAGCAGTAGCTTCTTAATGGCCCCTTACCTCTCTCACCTCACGCCAGTGACAGAGCCCTAACCAGAATCTTGTTGTGTTAGGGTATGTGGGTGAGTGTGCAAAGAGGCAGTCATAACAAAGCCTGCAAAGCTGTCTGGTTCTGGGTTTCAGAGACAGCTCTAAAGCCCTCGTTGAATTAGTCCACTGTTTGCAGCCAGTGGGGGTGGGTTGTTCTTGGATCCTGCTTGAGCCCTGCTCTGTCCCTGGGTGAACAGGAAATGCACAAAGAAGGCTGCTTTGTAGTCGTCCACCAAAGCTGAGAAAATGGGAAGAGGAGGAGAAAGATTAAGAGGGCTGGTACCATTAAAATAGGACTAAGGTGCTGTTGTCTGACTTTGCTGCTGTTGTTAACGGCTGCCTTTCAAACTGCAAACAGAAAGGGAGGTTGTCCCAGTTAGTTAGTTAGTTAGTCAGTCAGTCCGTCATTTTGCCTCCAAAAGCCAGACATACATACATGCAGAGGGTTAATGAAACCCGGATATCTGACAGATGCTTTTCCAAACTGCTCTGCTCCCATTGGTGACTCACTCCTTAACCCACTGGTTATGTGAGCTAGAAAGTGGGGGTGGAGTGGATATATATTGTTAAAAGAATCATCTGTTCTTCCCTTGGTTGTCATGGAGACCATATGTTGGCCATTCCCTTTATAGACACATTTTAACATTTTGGAAAGTTTGTTGTCCTATCCTTGCTGAACTCTCCCTGGGAGTCTAAAATTGCTCTGAGCCTTTTCTATCACGAAATATGTTAGAAAGATATGCTGATGGCTGAATGACTTGGTGAGTGTTTTTTGTTTTTGTTTTTTACTTTGAAAACACACAGAAAAATCAGTGGGGGCCCGTCCAAGAAATAGGTCTGGGTGGAGATGCATGCTGGATGGTGCCTGCCCTTCTCTGCCCCTTTCAAATGTTCCTAACACTCAAGACAGCTTCTTCTGCAAGCCAGCATCGTCTGACTAGACTTGGCTGAGGCCCAAGGAGTTGGTGGGTGTTCTCATCCCTGATCTTTTCACATTTTTAACCTTGCTTGTTAGTTGCCTCTCGCAGCCTCCACAAAGCAGGGAACCATTTTTGGATGTCTCTGTGGAACAAGCTTGCAGAGGATGAGAAAAAATGTTATATGCCTGAAGGTTCTGCTGATTCTTACCACAGAGATTCAGGGACAGTGTCAAATTTGGTGTGGATAGGTTGCGCTGCTGGTGGGTCCCTTGGAAAAAAAACACTGGGGCCTCAAGTATCTTGCCTTGTCTTTTCTCAACAGATGGAAGGAACGCCATGAGGTGGTATTTCTCAGAGGCAACAGGGAGGGAGTGGGGAGCCTGATATTGCCTCAGAGACCCAAAGAGCCATGACGTCGACAGTACAGACACTGCGTTTTCCACTGCTGCCACACATGCCAGGGCAGGACCAGACATACAGTTGTGAACAGGAGATTGAACGGCGCTACCAAGTGGTGCCCTCTGTAGTGTGTGCCATGTGCTGTCTCTTCGGGATCATCTATTGCTTCTTTGGTGAGTGTCATGAGGGGTCTGTGGGTTATTTTGGTGGGAAGGGGGAGACTCAAGGGTATAAATTTTCTTATTTCCCATGTGCCCATTCCCCACCCAGACCCAGTCCTGTCTCACAGTGTGCCTGGACAGGAGGCTCACAAAATACTCTTGGCAATATCCCACTAAGGCTGCATTCCTAAGTTTAGCAAACTACTTGGCTCGGCTCCTGTGCTAAGCACACCAAAGTCCCTAGAGAAAAGCCCAGCTGCCTTTCCCTAGGACACTTCCATGCTTTTGCTTCCACATTACAAAGCATGGTGCAGAATGCAGGAAAATCCCGGGCATTAGGATTCCCCATTCTTCACTAGATGAAGGACCAGCTGAGAGAGAATTGGTAGTTTTAAATTTCTGGGTACTTACATCTCAGAGGACCTCTCATGGACTACAAATGCCAACATGCTAATGAAGAAGGCACAGAAGAGGCTGTATTTCCTGAGAATGCTCGGCAAGTTAAATTTATCTCAGCATTTACTTTTGTCATACTATCGTAGCACCATTGAGAGTGTCCTAACCTATGGCATTTTGGCATGGTTTGGGAGTAGCTCTGTAGCGGACAAAAAAGCTCTACAGAGAACCATTAAAATTGCCCAGAATATCATCGGGCTCCAGCTACCAACCCTGGATGACATCTTCACATCCCGCTGTCTGAGGAAGTCACACAGCATCCTGAGAGACTCTTCCCATCCTGCTTATAACTTTTTTGTACTGTTGCCGTCTGGCAGAAGATATAGAACAATTAAGACTCGGACCACATGTTTTCTGAATAGTTTTTATCCCCAAGCTATAATTGCAATTAATAATGAGCTTAAAGACCACCAGTAGTGAATAATAAGTTGGACTGTGTTACTCGGCCTGCGGTGTAGTTGTTTGTATTTTTAGTGGGGGACTTTTAGTGGGTGGGGAGTGTTTGGGGAATTTTATGTTTGTGCATGAGTCTGGTCTCTGGGTGTCTGTGAATTTCGTTGTATGGGTATAATGTGTATATACTTACAATGACAATAAATTATTATTATTATTA